TGGGCCGGGGATTTAGCTCCGTGGTTCCACTGCCTGCCTCGCAAGCGCAAGGTCCTGAGTTCAATCCCCAGTACCAAAAAAAATTAATAAGAGAAATACAGTGAATTTTGTTTCCAATTCTATTACAGTAAAAGGCACATTGCCGTGAATCTCCCTCAAATCCTCCTCCTCACCTTGAACTCACGCATCCCGTCGTCCTTGGCACTTTCTGAAGCAGCTCTGGAGCCCTGGGTGTCTTCAGTTACACCATCCTGGCTGCCCCAATGCCCTGAATGGATCCGAAACATTTCCCTTCCAAGGCCATTTTGACTTTGGGAAGAGCCGGAAGTCGCAGGTGCCAAATCCAGTGAATGCGGTAGACGCGGCACATTTTTATCTGGCAGAAGTTGGTGTAAATGGTTGATCAGTGAGCTGTGATCACATGATGTGCTGAATGTTTACATAAAAAATGTCTACAAGAGGGCCGGGAATTTGGCTCAGTGGTTCCTGCGCCTGCCTCGAAAGCGCAAGGTCCAGAGTTCAATCCCCAGTACCAAAAAAAAAAAAAAAAAGGCAAGAAACACAAAAAAAAAAAAAAACTCTACAAGAAAAGACATGCGGCCACGAATCCCTTTCAGCATACTCAAAAGGGGGCCCAGGATGTAGCTCAGTGGTGCTGTGCCTGCCTCACAAGCACAAGGTCCTGAGTTTGAACCCCAGTACAGAGGGAAAAAACAAAAACAGAATACTCAAAGTGCCCCCTTGCTTTGAACACACTCATCTCATTGTTCTTGGCAATGTATCTTGCTAGAATTTTTTTTTGGTTCTGGGGATCAAACTCAGGACCTTGCACTTTCGAGCCAGGCGCGGTACCGCTGAGCTAAATCCCCGGGCTGGTGGCAAAGTATCCTTACTGTACTAATTTTTTATTTAACTTACACATTCACTGTACCTTTCCACCACCCCTTGTGTACCTTCTCCTCATTCCCAGAACAAAAACCACACCCCACAGTCTCCATGGACAGCGGAGAAATGCTCCTTCCTTCATGTCTGAGTCTTTGAATAGAGTCAGAGGATTTCACATCATGCTTTTCCTAAATAACCCTCTTCCCCACAAAAGAGTCTTTCTCTGCTTCTTATTATGATATATAATCATCATTATTATTATTATCTTGATTTTGAGACAGGGTCTCACAGCCTAAGGCTGGGCTCGAACTCGTGATAGTCCTCCTGCCTCAGCCTCCTGAGTGCTGGGATTACAGGCATGGGCCATCACACTTATGATGTACAGTCTTTAAGAGAAAACACCGAGCTTACAGTTGATACCAACCATCCTGGCACACAAGCGCTGGCTCCTCCACTCTTTTCATGCCTGAAATGGCCTCGTGAGCAGCAGGTGTTTTGCTGTCCCTTCTTTTTTTTTTTTTTGGTACCAGGGATCGAACTCGGGTCCTTGTGCTTGCAAGGCAGGCAGTGGAACCACTGAGCTACATCCCTGGCCCTCGCTGTCCCTTCTAGGTACAACAGTGACAGGCTCTGTGTGCTCCTTCCTCCCTCCATCCATTGACACTGGCTACAAAGTGATGGTAAAGAAAAGAAACCATGCTCTGTAGATAAAGAAAATGGAATATTACTCAACCTTAAAAAAGAAATAGCTCATATATGACAACCTGGGTGAACCCGGAGAACATTATGTTAAAGGAAGTGAGCCAGTTGCAGAAAGAGAAATGCCATGTGTCTACTTAAACCAGGCAGTTGTGGTAGCATTGCCTGAGTCCCAGCCACCCAGGAGGCTGAGGCAGGAGAATGGCTTGAGTCCAGGAATTTGAGACCAGCCTGAGAAACACAGTGAGATTCTGTCTTCAAAAGGAAAATACAAACATAAAACAGGCAAATAGATAGAGAACGGTGGTTGCCGCGGGCTGGAGGGTGGGAGAAATGAAGATCGGCCCATCCAGGGCTGTAAGCTTCAGTTATATGTGATAAATGCGTTCTAGGGAACCGAGAGCTAAGAGCCGAGAGCAGGCGTCAGTGTTAGCAAGACTGCGCCTGGACCTGGGGAGCTGGGGCTGCTCCTCCTCTACTAGAAAGACGGAGCGGGGAAAGAGGGAGGCGGAAGTCACGCTCAAAGGGCTTCTGCCTAAGTAGATTCAGACCCGGTTTTGTGTGAATGTTGAGAGAAAAGACCACAGAGGGCTGGGTAGGCAGGAATCCACCACCACGGGCTCCCAGCTCTCCAGGAGGCTGAAGCAGGGCGATCTCTGTGAGGGCAAGGCCAGCCCAGACTACACAGAGGGACCCTGCCACAAAAAGTACTTTCAAAACAGTATCAATGTTCTTCTCTCTTCTCCTTCTCGTTTCTTTACCAACTTCTGGCCTTCTGCTTTCTACTCTCTGTCCCACTGGACTTTCCCAATCATTTTGTATTCTTTCCTTACTTCCTCGGGGTATATGTAGCAAACATAAAGTTTACTTTCAGGAGAAACGATTTTATCTCACACCCAAGTGAGTGTCTAATAGAAAAACAAAGGACCAAACAAAAAACCAGGATACTCTATTAGACAGTTTCTTTGTTTTTGTTTTGTTTTATTTTTGGGTTGTTTTTTTTTTTGGTACCAGGCATCGAACTCAGAATCTTGTGCTTGCGAGGCAGGCACCGGAACCACTGAGCTACATCCCCGGCCCCTTATTTTTGTTTTTTTGAGACAGAATCTATGTAGCCCAGGCTGGCCTCGAACTCACGGCGATCCTCCCGCCTCAGCCTCCAACTGCTTGGATTCTGGACATGTGCCAGCCACCACACCTGGAAGAGTTTCTTTCTTAAAACTGTAAAGTGTTTTTATTTCCCTGGAAGAGAAGGGAATGTGAGCTGTCCTCTCCCTGCCCGAAGCCTTCCAGCTTCCTGGCTTCCCTCGAGCTCCAGTCATCTCTGCTCCCAGGTCTAGGACACTGGATGATGCAAATATGCTATGGCCAGCAGGGAGTTTCCACCCAGTAACACAAGCCAAAACCAGGCACAGAAAGGCCACAGGTGTGGCCAAGGCTGTACTGCCAGGGCTCCCACTCCAGGCCCTCTGCGGACCCTGAGAGCAAGGAAAGATGCCCTCACTGTAGCCAGAGGGACTGCCCAGGAGGCCTGTGCTTCCCCCTCAAGAACCGCTGCTTCCCTAGCGGGTCCTGGCAGCGTCTCCCGGAGCTGGCCGGGAGAACCCTGAGCTCAACACTTTTGGACGTATCAGAAGGCAGAGCACAGGGGCAGAGCCTGTGATCCCAGCACTCAGGAGGCTGAGGCAGGAGGACTGCCACAAGTTCAAGACCAGCCTGGGCTACCCAGTGAGACCTCATCCCAAGAAACAAAAAGGTGTCTCCAAAAAGCTGGGGTGTCCTTGACAGTTCCTGGCAGCTGTGAAGGCGGCCCCTAAGGCCTCGTTCCCGGACTTGCTGTCAGAATTCTGCCCCGCAGAGTGGTTTCCTTGACCCTCGGGTTGGGCAGTGCTCCGCGCCCCTCCCTCGGGTGGGGCAGGTCACCCCAAAGTCCCTCACCTGGGAGCAGTGCCGACCGGTGTTTTCCTCTGTCCCCGGTCGGCGGGGGGCGGCTCTGTCCTCATCCGCTTCCTGGGCCTCCGACCCTCGCCATCCTGGCTACTCAGGCGCACTGCACTTCGCCCTCTGCTGCAGCCCACAGGGCAGGGCTGGCGGCATTGGCCCTCCGTGTGCACAGCAGACGCAGGTCAGGGTTGAACCCACAGCCTTCGCGCTGAGCTACGTCCCCAACCTTTTTATTTTGAGACAGAGTCTTGCTAAATCAATACACTGCCCAGGCTGGGCTCAAACACGACCCCTCCTGGCTCAGCCTCCGAGACTGCAGGAACTCCAGGCAGGCACCACCGCTTGTGGCAAAGGCCTGAACCTTCACTCCTGGGGCACCCTGTGTCTCTGTAATCTGTCCTTTTTGCTTTGGGATGTTGAGAGAGGGAGAGTGGACTCCTCCCTCATACAACTAATTTTTCAGCCAAAGAGGAAAGGGATGAGCATCCCAAAGATTGAAAATCAGATTGGAAAGAAAATAAGCACACTTAGGCCAAGAAAATAATGCCAGGCAGGTTGTCAAGGGGACCTGGGATAGGACCGAGGAGGCAAATGTCTGTCCCTGAGCTGTTTGGTGGGACCATGACATAGGGAAGAATAGATAGGCCAGCCGTGGTGGTGCACACCTGTTACAGCACTGGGGAGGCCGAGGCGGGAGGATCACCAAAGTTTGAGGCCAGCCTGGGCTGCATAGTGAACTTCTATCTCAAAAGAACAAAAAACAAACAAAACGGAAAGAATGTGTAAATGCTGTGTGTTGCCTGGTTGGAGAGGCGGAGGTATTTGCATAATGCCCAGGTAGAATCCATTATCCAGCTGTAAATGCAGAAGAGCGAATTCCTAGAAATCCCTAGGAAATGAAGTCTCTTTCTCTCCTGTTTTCTTCTCAGACTTGCAGGGAATGTGATAGAGAAAAGGATACCTAATTTCGCTCTGAGATTGTGAATTCTGTACACTCAGAGCAACCCAGCCAAGATGGCTTAAATCTCTGCCATCCCCGGGAGGTCTAACCTGGTGTCCATTTCCGGTTCTGCCCAGCGCCTTCTCCCTGCCCCAGCCTGGTCCGGCTCAGGCCCTGCAGCTGGCTCGAGGAGGACAAGTGGAGCGCAGCCACTCCCTGGGAACCCGATGGTCAGGGCTCCGCCTGCCTGGGTGCTCCCAAGCCTGAAAGCTTCGGGTTCTGGTGAAGAGAGGGGCCCCTCCCCCCAAAGCAGGCCCAGGGCTGGGATGGAAAACTCCAGCATCCCCACAGACCCGACACCCCAGCTGGGTTTTTCCAAGCCCATTCGTGGGGCAGAGGCGGCCAGGCCAAGCGTGTGCAGGGTGGCAGTGCATGTCCTGCCTGGGACCACAGGGCTTGCTCTTTGCTTGTTTAGGAGCCTGACTCCACCACCTGCCTCTCGTGTAAACTCCTTGTATGTTTGCTTTTTCAGTTCTAGGGAAAATCCGAACCGCAGTGGGCAGTGCCCAACTTCTTATGGCCCAGAAATTCTACCAGTTCAGAGAACTGTGTGAAGAAAACCTGGTAGGTAACCTTCCCTGTCACCCCATCTCTCTGCTCCTGCAGGGCCCCCAGAAGAACTTGGGCTCAGCCTGGCCCCAGTGATGTCAGGCTGGTTCTGAACCTCAGTCCGGTCTGGCCCAGCCTCACCTGTCTCATGACTCCACTTATCTTCAAATTGAAAATATTTATCTTATACTTGTATCATCTTCAGAGGAAAAAGCCAAACAAACTCCATTTCCTGCATTTTTATCACTGAAAATTTTCCATTTTCCTGGCTTTCTCGTGATATCTCCGATTTTATTATTCTTAACCAAAATAAGCAGCAGCCCTGACATTTCAGAAATCATATTACAAAGAAAATCATTTTGGATGGTGATTCTCTTTCTAAAATAGCTGTCAATGGCTATTTTCTATCCCAGTTTTTGCTTTAATTCCCAGGACCAGAGGCTAAGGGTGTCACAAAGAACAGATTTGATCTTCCAAAAGAAATGAGTACTTCGACCTTTCTGGACGTGTAAAAATAAAATAAAGCAAAAGAAAGAAAGAAAAGCACCACTACCAACGATAGCTTTTTTTTTTTTTTGGTACCGGGGATTGAACTCCAGTCCTTGTATTTGCAAGGCAAGTGGCAAAACCACTGAGCTAAATCCCCGGCCCCAACGTTAACATTTTTAAGCTGATTCCAAAAGTCAAAGGGCAAGAGCTTCCTTGACTGAACTTTTAAAATAAAAATTGCTCCTGTCTCTACAAGCATAATTCCACAAGAGTAGTTTTCATGGCTCAAACATTGGTCAAGATCTAAAATATAGAAAATCAAAAGTGATTTATGTATGGATGGAAAGTCCAAACATGATTATTTGCAATCTGAACGATCCAAAGTATGATTTTAGGGTCTTAACTCTGTGTCACGGACACTTTCTCTCCCCACAAGAAATTTTGTTTGCAGGGACAAACAGGGACTAGAAACAACCCAGCTAGACAGAACACAATCAAAGGAAAGCACAAAGCATGCAGAACTGCTACTCTCCCTCCATTCCTCCTCTCCAAGCTTCTCTTCTTAGGCTGGCACACGCATGCACGCACACAGGCACACACACACACACAGTAAACATATTAGTAAGTGAATTCAATTCAACAATATTTTATTGAGCTTCTGCTACGTGTCAGGTGTAGAAATCCTGTTAGTTTACAAAGTGCGGAGATCTCACAGGTCTCGTTAACATGCCTCCTTGTCCTCTGAAAGCAGGAGAGCTCCTCATAAAGCCTTGTCGCTCACAGCGACCAATAGGTGCAGGAGGGAGTCACCAGCGGGGGCCGCCTAGAATGTCCTTGTTGGAAGAACTGCTGGATGGTTGGGCCAGTTTATTATGAATTAGAAAGTAAACTGTGCCGATTTTAAAGATGAAATTGCAGACCACATTTTTGGCAAGCCTTGGTGATTTCTAGGAAACTTTAACCTTGAAAGCCAGTTTCTGCTGATTCCTACTCCTATAACTCGCGTGGCTCTCACTGGAGACCACGGAGGGAACTACAGATGCCTTGGCCACGGACTTACCACTCCCGGGGGGGAAATGAGGTGGCCCGCTGGACTGTCCCGTTGGTGTGGCACTGTGTGTTCCAGATTTCTGGCCGGGTTCAGTCCTCAGAATGAGCAAGTGGAGCGAGCGCACCCGTGACATTATTCTCATGAGTTACAGAGGAGGAACACAGGCATGGGCAGAGCCAAGACTCGAGTCCCAGTCCGACTGTCCTCACTCCCTGACCATTGCTGCTCACCCTCAGGGTGGCCTGGTGGTGGCACCACTAGGATCCACAGCTGCCTCAGAGTGGCCACGGTTGGTCAAAACCAAGCCCTTCTTTCTGGGCCTCCTGCTCTGAGAAGGACAGAAATAGTCGCTCTCCAGTATGAAACACGTATGACCACAGACAGGATTCCTGGCTTGGCATGAGTGGCAGACAGACGGCCTTTCCGGTATAGCTAGGCAGAAGCAGTCTCCTCCCCTCCATCTCTGGCTTCCGGTGGAGGAGTGATTGCCCGCCTGTGGGCCTCTGACCTCTCGCTGGGAGGACAGCCGAGCACCTACATCATTCTGTTTCCTAACACATCCGTATTGGACAACATGGGAAGGAAGGGAATCTCAGAAGGGAGGCCGCAAACTGCCCACGACACAGCGAAGCACACACCAGAAGACACCACAGGGATGGTTCCACATGGAACTACAGGTCAGGCACCCCTAATCCCGAACCACAAATGAGAAATGCTCCAAGCTCTGAACCTTGGGGCCCTGACATGACATTACAAGGGAAAATTCCACACGGGACCTCATGTGACAAGGCAGAGCCAAAAGGCAGGTGGAGTAAACACTACCTTCAGGCTGTCTGCAAGGTGAACATGAAACACTTAAAATCCTATAAAGTCCAGAATCCCAACCTCCAGATAGGGGCTATTCCACCCTTGTTGTCTCTTGCACGGGTGTCCCGAAATGATTTGGCCAGCAGAGCTGGTGACCCAGGCGACTTCATCGAGCTTCAGAACAGGAACAGTTTAGTTTTTAGTGCCCAAGAAGGGCAGACGTGCTGCGAGATCATGAAAGGTTTTGAGAGGCACCTTGTCCAAGCCATTATTTATCTATTCTGAACATCTAAATGCTGAGAAACGCTTTTTGTTGTTTACTAAATCAAAATACTCCAGAGAAGCCCTTTCGTCAACTCAGGTGTCAACAGAATGGAGGTTTTTTCCATGCTGGGGACGGGACCCAGGCCCTTGCAGACCCTAAGTGTGAATTGCACTGAGCTGCGTCCTCAGCCTCTGGGATAGACTTTGACACTGAACCCAGCACTTCAAAATTTGAGCATTTATTTCTTCTGATGAGTTTCAGGATTATGGGTAGTTTTAGAGCTCTACATTTATAAGTGTATCTCAATCTGTATTTATTTTGAGCCAGGCCAGTGGTGCCAATGCATCCCAGAGCATTCCTTAGCAGTTGGTTTTATCCACCCTTTATCAGCACGTATCTGGCATGCATCATGATCACACTCCTCGCGGGAGTTTGTGCATACACCGGACACATCCTAATTGCTTTGTCCCCTTCCCCTCCTGACCCTCTCTGCTTTCTCCAGCTCTTCTTCTCCTTCCCATTTGCAAAGTGGGAAATTTCCATTTTTCCCTCTATTCTGTTTTTTAAATCCCCTCTCCCTCCACTTTTTCATCTCTTGTCCCCCTTCCCGTTTGGAAATGATTACCTACTTTCTGTTTTCTGTTATTTTGCACTTTATTTATACTTTGGGTTTCTCATGTAAGAGAAACCATACAGTATTTAAACCTGTGTGTCTGATTTATCTCACTTAACATTATGGTATCCAATGACTGAAGCTTATCCTTCTTTATGACAGAGTAGTACTCCATTGTGTATAAACACCACGCTTAGGGATTTGTTTTAAAAGCACAAACTGGCCTCTTATTATTATTTGACTAAAGGTTCTCCAGTCCATCCAGGTACCTGGAATGCCAAGAGGTGACCGAAAGCAACACCAGCCAGGACCATGAAAGCCTTAACCCCTTCTGTAGCAGCGATGAGCAGTTGCCCTGACCCTTTCTGTCTCTTGATTGTTTTTGGGGGTTTTTTTGGTACCGGGGATCGAACTCGGGACCTTGCGCTTGTGAGGCACTGAGCTAAATCCCTGGCCCAACTTGATTGTATTTTTACTGGAGATGAAGGTTCATCCTTTCTGTCATCGGGATGTGTGGGTAGGGACGAAGACACTGCCCTTAAACCCCATGCTAGCAGATGCAGCATGTGGAGATGCTGTGCCCTCCCCGTGCAGTGTGCTGCTCCAGTCCACTGAACCTAGTCCATCTCCGGATACCTGTTCAGAGCAGTCCTGTGATAAATGACCCTGTTAGGAATGTCTTAACAAACATAGAGTTCAGGGGCCCAGTTGTGTACACAGTGGCAAATTGTGTATCTCACATGTGCAAGTGAGGGGTTCAATCCCTAGCCCCCCCAAATTACACACAGCACTTTGAAATAAGTGTTCTATGACTTAGCACTTGTCGACTTAGTATTCCACTCCTCGTGTCTATGAAAGCTAATCTCAATCCCGATTCTTGATCTGTTCTGTGCATAAACTTCTGTGTGTCATGGGCCCAGATATTCCACCCTAAGAGACTGAGCTTTCCCAAGGCAGTGGCTTCATGAAGTACGTATGGTGTGTGGAGCTTCATCCTGCAGTGGGTGATGCGGGGTTTCCCAGTGGAGGCCCCACCCTGCCCAACTGACACAACCTCTCCTGGTTCACGAGAGAGGAATTCCACAGCCTTGACACTGGGAACCACTGGCCCACACCCGGGAGGGGCAGAATGACCATCTGTGGCCTTGTTTTCCTCTCCTGTCTGGACGCCCCTGCCTGCCCCCCCGTCAAGATGGCCTCTAAAGCCACCTGTTTTTTTCTTTCTCTTGTACAGAATCCTAATGCCCATCCGAGACCCACCTCCCAGGACCTGGCGGGGTTTTGGGACATGCTGCAGTTGTCCATAGAAAACATTAGTATGAAATTTGATGAACTCCATCAGTTGAAGGCCAATAATTGGAAACAGACGGATCCTCTTGACAAGAAGGTAGAACAATGTAGATTTTGTATGGTTCACTTAAAAACCTGCACAAACCCCGGACCGTCTAAATAGGCTTTCGCATCCAGTCCTGCTGTTTACAATGTGAAATGGAGCTGATATCATATTAATTTCATTGTAATGACAATGTTTACAGAATAATCACTTGGGATATTATCTGTAATATGTTTCAGGCATATTTTTAAAGAAAAACCTGTCTTTGTGAATTGGAAAAATGGGAATGTGGCTTTTTTTTTGTTAATTAAACTTTAAGTTAAACCATTTTAGTCACTGGAAGGAACTGCCTCCATTTTGCTTTTTAAACTAAAATAAATGGCATCTTCAGTACATGATTCCATAGAGCAAGAGTTCAACTTCCTTACACCCATAAGCCGTGTTTCCAAAAGAAACAGGAAGCCCTGAGAAATAAGTGACTTTGATAATCATTTCGTAATAGAGTAATAAAAAGATCACGGTTGTGCAAGTCTGAAAATATACACCATGAAGTCTCACAGTCATCGTAAAGGTTGGGTTTTGTTTTCAAAAGTTATACTTTTGGTTGATTTGCCCGGGGGACTATTGCTCACTGCAGTCCACATGCAACAGTTTAGAAATAAAGACTGAAATTCTTTTACTTCAATTAAATTTCCACCAGGCTTCTGCAGGCATCCAACATCCGTGCCCTCGGGGCTCCTGCTAGGCATGACTTTTTTTTTTTAAACTCTTTGCTCTCCTGTGGCCTGAACTCAAGTAGTTCCAAGAAAGCCAACCTCTGTAAAGGAGGGGCTGCTATTCCCTTGGTGGTGGTGACCCTGCCTTTTCCAAGTGCTAATGGCGAGCCCCTCCACTTCACTGCTGCCCGTCATGTGCAGGCCCTGGGGTCAGTGGCTTCCAGGAGAAACCCAGCCCCGAGGGACGGGCTGTGACTTCGGTAGCAGGGATGCTGTCCTCGAGGTCCTCATTCTCCAGCTCTGTCACATCAAACTGGGGTTTTAGGGTCCAGTGTGAAAGCACAACTGATGCACTGTGCCCTCTTCCTGCGGGAGCCCAACGTTAAACCCCATCTACTTTTCTTTCATCTATGTGTAAAACCACCTAGCAAGGCTTTTAAACCCGGTCTTGTTTTAAGAAAACACTATGGGTGTACACACAATTCCCTTTCCAGAGCTGATCCATCTAACTCCCTGCTCCTTGATTATTCAAAAATCAGTGTTAAAAGTAGACTGTGCAAAGAAAGGAAAATGCCTAAAAAGTTTCCAACAGTCAGACCTTGAACAATATCCAGTTGCCCCACAATGAAGGCTTCAGTGTCTCACAGAGGCAGCCCTGCGCATTGGCATAGGTGGCCTGTTGCCATGCCGACAGCTGTCACTAGTTAGCTTGGCCTTTAAGGTTTTTGAACGCATTTTGGGGGTGATCATGGCTTTAGTGCCCTGTGAGCCAAGAGAAAAAGACTGAGCTGGGGTCCTGTTTGAACCTGGGGCTCTGCTCTTTCCCTCCTTCAGATGCCAGACTCCACCTTAAGCCCCTGAGGGGCGACACCAAGAGTCAGATGCTGCACCAGGCTTTTCTGCCATGCCAGGCACTGCGCGGGGACACAGGGCCCCCTGGCAGAGTCACTTGATCAGATTTGCAGACAACCCTCACCCTCATTTTTACAGACACACAGGCCATTTTATTTAAAATGGAAACAGATTTACGTGGACTCTGCCACAGCCTGAAAGCTTGACATCCTGTTCCTAAAAGTCCCATGTGGTTCCGCTGCAGCTTCCCCGCCACCTCCCTGTCCTGCCAAGGGATGGTTGGCCGGGCTAGCGTGGCACTGAGAATATCTGCCCGCTTTCCAGGTGGCTGTGGATAAGCAGAGTAAGCCCAGCAGACCTGGATTACATTTTCACAGAGCTGTGTCCCTCCTTGGGAGGGGAGGGGCCTGAGGCCCCTCGGGACTGCTGTTCCCACAAGGGTCCCTTAGGGGTCCTGCAGAGCAGGAAGCCCCAGTGTCCCGCTGTGGTGTCCAGGGCATTTCCGTATCTGTGTGTGATGTCCGCAGGGCCTCACCGCAGTGGCCTCGGAGAGCTGATGGACCCAGACAGCTTTGCAGTCTCACTTCCTCCTTTGGGGACAGGAGGCCGGGTCGCCCTGGGAGACTGGGGAAGAGGTTTCCAAAGGAGCCCACCTCCTGATGGCTCGCTGCTCAGAGCAGACGCCGAGTGCTAGATGCTTCTGCGGTGGCTCTCCTGGCCCTGGCTGGTGCCAGGAAGGATCAGGCTTCTGCAGAGAGAACCACACTCCTGTGCTGAGAGCCCCAGCCTTGGGGAATGGGTGCGTTTAAATTTTATCTCTAAACAAAGAGATAAATTTTGGTTGTTTGAGACAAGGTCTCTCTGTGTAGTGCAGGCTGGCCTTGAACTCACTATGTAGCCCAGGCTGGCCATCCTCCTGCCTCAGCCTCCCGAGTGCTGGGATTCCAGGCCTGAGCCACCAGGCCTGGCAGGAGCAGTTGCGTTTTACATCCCCATGCCTTGCCCTTGGAGAGAGCTAGTTCTGCAAGCCAACCTTAAGCTTCCCGGGATTTCTTCCCCTTCCCCCTTGCATCTTTTGAGTACCCCAATAACGAAGAAAAACTTATCCATATCACGGTACAGATCAGAACCAGCCACCCTCAGGGTTAAAGGCGAGGAGATGTGTGTGCGTGTGTGTTCCACCTCCTGACCTATCCCAGTCCTCCCCGCCTGTCCTGAGAAGCTGTGTAATGTCCTGAACCTTCTGCTTTGATCAGGAGAGGAGGGCCCCTCCTCCAGTGCCCAAGAAGCCGGCGAGGGGCCCCGCGCCGCCGCTGACCCGGGAGCGCTCGCTGGAGAGCTCGCAGCGCCAGGACGCCCGCAAGCGCCTGCTGGCCGCCAAGCGCGCCGCGTCGGTCCGCCAGAGCTCGGCCACCGAGAGCGCGGAGAGCATCGAGATCTACATCCCCGAGGCGCAGACCCGGCTCTGAGCGCCTCCGACGCCGCCCGCGCCCCTCCGGACGCGCTGCGCGTCCGAGCTGCGCCCACCGCCTTCCTGCACCACCCATAGCTCCCCTTTCAGTTCCGGGCCACGTGTAGAGAGGCCACCTTAGGTCCCCGCACCCCGTCCTCTCCAGCACTTAGTGTGTTCCTACAGCTCAGCAATATCCAACAGGGTGTTTCAGAAACCCAGGGCGGGCTCTGGACAGACTTACTGTCTTCCACAGGAGAGAGATCCGAGGGCTCGATTCCCCGCCTCGCCCCCAAATGGTGACCCTTCCAAATACAAAGCAGATGGAGCACTTTACTTCCAACCTCAGAAAGAAATCAGCCATCTCACCTGCATGGAGGAGGGACAGAGAAGGGGGGACGAAGCTGGCCGTGTGGGGAGCCGCGTGAGCGCAGGGGACCCGCGCCTCTCGGTTGCACAAACCACCCGCGTCACCTCCATCCACGGCTCCAGGTGTCTCCACCAGCAGAAGATTGTAAATTCGATCTTTCAGGGAAATCAATCTATTCCGAAAGGCAATAAAGCGAAGGCAGGCTAGGCAAAGGAGGCACTGATGGTTGAAGATATTACATAGGGATTTTCTTTTCTTTCTTTCTTTCTTTTTTTTTGGTCCTATTATTCAGAAAAGCCGTAGTGTTCTATGGACTTCCATTGTGCTCTGTGTACTCTATGCTTGTGGCCCAAAGGGCGAAGGGCTGGTTCTCAGACCTGCCTGGCACACAGCTGAGCAGGTCCGCTCCTGAAGGCTTTCCAGAGCAGAGCCGGGCTTCCCTGTCGTCCTCTCGAGCCCTGTAGTTCTCATTTCGGGTCTGTTTTCTGCGTCAGGCTCCACTTTCTTTTGCACACAGTCACATGTTCCCCAGCGCAGGCCACTGTCCTATGTCCAGAGACTAAAATAAGCTTGCTACCCCAGGGGACACGCCCTGGGGGTCCCAGGGAGTGAGAAGAGCTTGGCCTACAGGGTGGAGAGATCCAGGTTCGGGGCAGAGGATGCTGGTTTGTGTTTTGAGCCACGACTTCTAGGCAGCGGGCATGGCCCGAGAGGTCGTGATCTTTCACCGCCCTCCCTCCTAGTGCAGTTGAAACCCTGAGAACGTGGCGATCTCAAAGTGTCCCTGGCGTTTTATGTCACGCGCACACCCTCAAATTCACCATCAAAGAAAGATTAAAAATACCAACAACAACATAACATCGGATATGCTTGCACCAGAAAACCTTTTTTGTTTTAATGCACTCTCATAGCCTGGTGCTAATTTCATTTTATTTATGAAATTAAGAGAGGTAATGGGTTCTGGGACAAATGTTTTTCACCGACATATTCTGAAACCACTAGAGAATTCGCTACCTCTCAGAGCCATGGATGCTTTGAGCTATCTTTATTAACAGGGCACAAATGTTTACGGCTGTGGTTTACAAGAAAAGGGCTACTCATTTATTTCAAAACCAACCGACCAACTCTTTAAGTAGGGGACAAAGCACCCAGAAGTGCTTTGTAAACCTGGAGCAAAGAGAGACCTCGAGTACTCGCTAGTTTCGGCAAAAAACACCCCTTTTCTCTAGGTGGCAGCCGTGGAAGGGTAGCGGCGTGTTGGAGTAGGTCAGGACGCTGTCACCCGGGTGGGCCTGTTGGTCACCCGCTGAGAAGGCTGGGAACTCCCAGGTCGCCCCCGGAAGCAGTGTCCGCCCGAGTCCATATCCGCTCAGCTCCGGGACCCAGGGAGAGTTGAGATTAGATTAGGAAATCGATTCCTAGTGCGGGTCTAGAGCATCCAACAATATTTTCTTTGGAAACTGACGTAGCCCAGGATATTTTAAAGCGGGACAGGAGAAGGCCTATTTATCTTGTCTAAGTGATCGGTATTTGTATATTCATAAGCTATTTTTGGTAAGAATTTTAAACCTTTTAGCCAAACGCCTATAGGGTGTCATGACCTTTGCCTTTCTTCAAAACAGTTTAAATTTACGAACACTTTATAAAAAGCTAATTATTAATGTGAGACCACGACCCCAGAGAGGCTGCTTGTTAGCATCTGACCCTAAAACCGACATTCATGAGCATAAGCCTTTGTTACATTGTTCTTTTTGATGTAATTTGTAGAAATGTTTTTTAGTTCATAATGGAAAATGTGCGCGCCCTGAAAAATTACTTATTTTGTTTAACTTTGGTATAAAGGTGTCGGGCATTTTCTTGGGGAGGGGGGATCACAAAAGAAGCTTGTCTCCCACATCAAAAAAAGTTCAAAGAAATTAAGTATTTATTATATTTTTTGCAGATGTTTCCATACAATTCACATAACCTTTTTGTAAAGAGAGATGAAGAAATGGATTAAAGATTTTTAATATTTGAAATGGTAAATAGAACTAATTTATTTGTAATATATTTCTGTTATTTATAGATGTTTCCTTAGTGTTTTTCTGTGCATTACCCCTTTGATTTAAGCCTTACTCTTGTGAATTTACCATTTCTTTTTTAACACATGTCTAGATGCATATTTTAAATAACTGGAATGTAAATCACTAGCATATCTGAATTCCCAAATGTAATTTTTAAAAATTATTTTGGTTTGGAAAAAAAAGATTCACTTGAAAGCCTTCAGGTGGAGGGGTGGGGAACATTTTTATGGCTTTCTGAATTGGAATTTCACAGGCTCATTTACCTAGATTGTGTGTGGACAAAAACAATTGTAAATAGATGAATGTTTCCCATAATGTAAAAAGAAGAAATTAATAAAAGAACTAATGCACTGCTTTCAGGTCTGTGTGTTTTCACTTGACTCCCATTTCTTCCAAAATCTGAATAATTCTTTGCAAGGGAATAAACAATTAAGAAGCATTCATCCCAATGTTCATGGTATTTTTTTGTTCTGTTTTTGTTTTTGAGACAGGGTCTCACTATGTAGTTTAGGTCGGCCTTCAACTTGCCGTGTGGCTCAGCCTGGCCTCGAACTCGTGGCAATCCTCCTGCTTCAGCCTCCTGAGTGATGGGATCACAGGTATGGGTCACCACGCCCAGCACAAATGCTACTCGCTGGCCAGCAGGTGGGGAGAGATCTTGCGCCCTGCCAGGGGATTTTAATAGTGAAGAATTGAAAGGGCCTTTGGCTTTATAATCACACACATGTGGAGTCTGGGGCCAGCAGCTCAAGAACCGGATTGCAGTGAGTCAGGTACACTTTAGGGAGGGAACTGTGAGCTCCTTTGCCTGTTTTTTCTTTCCTACCCTTCTAAGGGCACAGAAAATCAGCAAGCCCCCAAGGGTTCCGTCTCCTCCTTCAGTAATGAAAATCTGTCACTGGGCTGGGAAGTCACTCCATGCATCCTCAGCACCACAAACATAAATACATAAAAACCCTGCTCACTGAGGTTAAAACTGTAGTTACTTGCCACTCACTGTCAGGGCCCCTATGTCCTGGCTGGAAACCTTACTTGATCCACAAGAGTGGCCCACAGAGCTAACTCGGGACACTGGTGGGGCAACTCAGGCTCAGATGTCGCTGAAAAGGGTCCATGTGCCCCGGCCCACCAGCCTGGAAAGGGGTGAGACAGCCGCTTTTTGTGATAAGCCACACCTGTGCCAGTCACCAAAGCAACACAAACTGCTTCGGAAGAGGAATGACCAAGTGACAGGGTCCCTGCAAGGCGACAAAGATCCAGTTGCTTTGGCGTAGTTGGAACCCTGGGCACGCATCTTCCTCTCCACTAAGCAATTCTTCTAGCTCATCGGAGCTCAACGTCTCGGCCGACCCCCAAACAAAACGGGGTGAATGTCAAAATCTGACTTTCAGAGAAGCAATTTCCCACACACCATGTTCCCCTCTCCCCCCAAAACTGTAATTTAGTTTCTTAAAAGAAATGGAACAGAACTGTTGGCTCTGAACACTACTTTCTTTTTGTACCTTTGAAATCTGCCCTTGAGAATACAAATTGATTTTGATTTAAATAAACAACATATTTATTAAAAATCACAGCGTCTGAACATGTTCATTCCCGGCTGCCACTGATACCGAAAAGGGTCAGAGTTCCTTCTGATTGGCAGCACGGAGTGTCTGACTTCCAGCTGCTACATCGAGATCGAACCAATGGCCTTTGCAAACAAACTGGTGGCCCTGTCTGAAACCCCGTCTCATTAACAGTCTGGAGCTCCCTGAAGTCGCTGGTGGGGACAGTGCCCTCTTGGGCTCCTGCTCTCCTCTGGCCTTCCTGCCAGCCCAGACAGCCTTGCTGAGAAAATCCCAGGAATATGAAGCTAGGGCAATCCCTTCGTGTGGGTGCAGAGAGCCCGGGATTATTTCCATATGTCTTTCATGGAAGTCACACAAGCCCAAACTTACTGGATGTGGCTCAAGGCAAGGCAGCATTTTAATCAATACCAAAGGCAAGATGCGCCCGAAGCTGATGCAGCCGCAGCGACGCCCCACACAACGCCTCGCTCCCACCGATTACGTCTGCCACTCTTCCCTGCCCATTCCTAGGGTTCCCCCGGGGGTTCCAAAGTGCGCTGTCACCTGGAAATGTGCCAGGCGAATCATGTGTCCAGGAAGAGGGTGCAAGGCAGACCGGAGAAGGGAAGCAGCTGGCGCCCGTGCCGTCACTGCTCACAGAGTTGTGCACATGCAGGGAATCGGGTTCTTCCCACCCACCCTGCAGCGAGGGTGTCCACAGCAGCAGATCTGCCTCCTCCAAATCCCGGCACCCTCCCTGCGGGTGAAGGCCAGCAGCACAGTTAGAAAGTGGCCTCGAGATTCAAGATTCACACATTTGCACAGCCCTCTGTGCCCTTAGGTCCCAAGTCTGCAGCTTCAACCAACGGTGGATCAAAAATGTGCAGTCTAGACTTTTTCTTTCATTATTCCCTAAACAACAGTGAGTCAGCTACTCACACAGCATTTGCATTTTGTTAATTATTGTAAGTAACCTAAAGAGGAATGAAAGGACGCAAGAGAGTGGTGGGCAAGACTGTGCCACTTTAGGAGGGACTGGACCATCACTGTGGATTCAGGTACCTGGTGGGTCCTGGAGCCGGGTCCCCATGGGCACCCAGCCTGCTTATGTATCCTTAGCAGATGAACACCTCCTGTCTTTTCCTTCCTTCCTTCCTTCCTTTTTTCCGTGTGTGTGTGTATGTGTGTGTGTGTGTGTGTGTGTGTGTGTGTTGGGGGGGGTGTTGAGACAAAGTCTGCTATGTAATTCAGGCTGGCCTTTAACTCACCATGCAGCCCAGCCTGGCCTCAACCTGTCAGGAATCCTGCCTCAGCCTCCCAAGTGAGGCAATTACAGGCATGCACCACCACACCCTGCTTACTCCGGTCTTTCTAGGGCTTTCGGGTCCAAAGCCCGGAAGTGTAGATGATACAACATACAGTGTCATAAAGTATAGCTGGGGAAACATCACCCCAGATTAAAATAAAACTTTTAACTGAAAACAGGAGGTCTACTTTAAGCTGTGTTTGTCTTGGTATAGAAAATGTGCACTTCTGTGTGACATCTTTAAAAAAATAACAGATGCACCACATCGCTGCCCTCCAGAGCAAGACTGGATGTGCTCTCACCTCGGCCAACATGACATCCGTGTCTGACTGCAGTGCGAGAGGCAGCACAGAAGGACAAACCTGTCAAAGGAGAGCAGAGTGGCTGGTCCTGTCCCTGTCCAGCTCAGTCCCATGGCACAGGCTTCTCAAGCAGCCTCCATTCCCGCTGCCCCTGCCTTGCCTCAGGGACACCTGCTCCATGCCTGCAGCCTGGCCCCTGGGCGGGACAGAGGAGCCTGGCCCTGCCCCCTCGAGCTGGACAGCGAGAAGGGTGCCTGAGCACAGCTGCTGTGGTGCCCAGCCTTGCCCAAGGAAGGCACCCCACCCAGGGCGGCGGAGGGGACCCCCCTTCCCACAGAATGGCTTTGTGTCCAGCGGGGCGGGTCACAGGCTGCCACGCTCCAGGGCCAGTGAGGACTCAGCAAGCTGTGGCAGAGGCTGGCACCAGGTCAGAGGTCAGCCCCGAGTTTGTACGCTGTGGTGTTCAGGTGATTCGGGGTGACTCCGACTTCACCATGGTCCATGGGCCTCAGTGGAAGACGGGTCACCAGGAGACACCACAGTGGAATAGGGTTCGATATTCAACGCAGAGAACTGGGTTAAACAGTAAAGAAAGGTGCACCTACAGGGAGGGCCAGGCTTGACGGCCCGGGATACACCAAGAGAAGTCGCTGCTCAGCCTCCCTGAAGCTGTTGCAGGCGGACTCCAAAGCTGCCTTCTCCTGCTCAAGGTCCTGTGTCTTCAGCCCAAACTAATGATTCTCTGGCAGGGTTCCCGCCAGGTTCCCAAAGACAGAGGGAAAATTCCACACACACACCACCAGAAGTACCCGGGGTCCTTTGGAATTTTGCCTTTGGCTTGAGTGCGCGCGCGCGCGCGCGCGTGTGTGTGTGTGTGTGTGTGTGCGCGTGCGTGTGCGTGTTTTGTTTTATAGCACTGGGAATTGAACCCAAGACCTTTATACTGAGCTACAACCCCAGCTCTTTTTATTTTTTATTTTGAGACAAAGTCTCCCTGAGTTGTCCAGGTTGGGCTCAAACTTATGATACTCCTGTGTCAGCCTCCCAGAGTACTGGAATTATGTTTGTTTGTTTGTTTGTTTCAAAAATCCAAAGTGAATGGCCGGGGATTTAGCTCAGTGATTCCATCGCCTGCCTTGCAAGCCCAAGGACCCAAGTTCGATTCCCGGTACCTAAAAAAAAGAAAAAAAATCCAAAGTGAAAATCGCTTTAGGATGTACTTGTAGCTTTCATATATTTGGAATTGTGTTTATAGGTCGTAACCCTAGACAAGGGATGTGCGCTTTTGTTTTTAAATATTATCAGATTGCTTTCCCAGAGGCCTCCACGGATCTTCCCTTGACCAAAGACTTGGGCTCTGACCACCACCGTTCCGAGCGTGAAGCAAAGCACAGGGGCTCTGATCGAGCTCGCCCAGCCTGCACGTGGCCCCAGCACCAACCAAACAAACGCAAAAGTAAATTCAGAGTCACGCTAAAAAAACAAAAACAAAAACAAAAAACCCAGGCCTCTTCCTGCTGGCTTTCAACAGGACAGGTATGGAAGGTTCCAGAAATGATCTCCAAGCAATGTTCTCCCCCTGGTGCTGGGGAGGGAGCCCTGGCCTCCATGCAGGATCAGCAAGCACCGTGCAACAGTGCTGAATCCCCACCTTGAGCAACTTTCACAGTGAATAAAAAAAGTGGAAAAAAGAAAGGGATCAGTAAAGCACATCGCCAAGCTCCCAGTCCCCAGGCACCCCGAGCTATGGCAATGAATGCCAAGTGTCTCTTTGGGCTGCCTGACAGCCAGGTCAGAGCGGTCTCTACTTCAGAAAGTGGGTGCAGGGTTGTGTAGAACACTCCACTCCTACGTACAAATCCCTGAGTTCAATACCCAGCACAGCAAAAAAAAAAAAAGAGGTGAAAATTATTATTTGCTGGGTGTGGTGGCGCACACCTATAATCCCAGCACTCTGGGAGGCTGAGGCAGGGGGATCACCACAAGTTCCAGCCCAGCCTGGGCAACTTAGTGACTCAGAGACCCTGTGTCAAAATAAAAAAGGACTGGGGATGCAGCTCAGGGGGAAGGCCCTGGGTTCAATCCCCAGGACTGCAAAAAGTGGTCTGCATTATTGGAAGTCTTCGTTCACCTAGAGCCCTTGGAACTGTGTGCATTTTTACTGTGGTTTCCTGTTTTCCAGCCCACCTTTCAGGTCTCCCCCC